ATAATGTTGTAATTATTATTTAATGTAACTAGAATGTACTGGTCGCTAAAATTTTAACGTTACAAAAAAATCACAAGTAAATTCTAAAAATACTTGGTTTCTTATATCATAGATCAGTAAATTACCTCAAATAGGGTAACAGTTTGGTGATAATGAGGACTTACAATAAATTGAAATGTATCCATTAAAAATATTACAATTTGAGTCAAGAAAATCTGCACTCAAACGTTTTTCCTCACAATGGGGTAAATATGGGGTAATAGCAACAAAAAAGTCATGAGCTATACACTTTTTACACATTTTCTGCAATATTTTATAATGTTAAGTATGTATCAACATGAAAAGTAGAAATATTTGGTATCAAAGATGCTACATAATTCATAATATGAATATTACGTAATATTTTATAAATTACTTGATAATTATCGTGTAGTGAAATGTGTGAAACTACATAACTTGTGGAAATACTTGGAAAGTAATAAGAATTGCGTATTCTTCAAATCTTCATTAATAGATTCACACACTTCATATAAATATTAAGCAATATTTGGGTATAATATAAGGTACTTGTTGATTCTTGTGTAGTACAATGTATGAAATTACTTGGAAAGTACTAAGAAATGAGTATCATATTCTCAAATTTTATATCAAATATTTTATTTTACACACTTTATTTATATATTATTCAATAATTGATAAGTTTCTTGTTAATACTTGTGTAGTGCAATCTACGAAATTACTTAAAAAGTAATTTGTAAAAATACTTGAAAATTACTAATGAAATCAGTATTCATTTTCTAAAATTGAAGTTCATAAATTCCAAATAATTTATTTACATATTACTCAATATTTGATAAGTTACTTGTTAATTCTTCTGTAGTGCCATGTGTGAAATTAATTAAAAACTAACCTGTAAGAATACTTGATAAAGTACTAAGAGTATCTCTTTTCATAGATTTTACACACTTTATTTATATTTTACTCAATATTTAATAATTTACTTGTTAATTCTCGCGTAGTGCATATGTGTGTAATTACTGAAAAGCAATTAGTAGAAATACGTATAAAGTACTAAGAAATGAGAATCTTTTTTCTCAAATCTTAGATCATAGATTTTACACACTTTATTTATATATTACTCAATATTTAAGATAAGTTACTTGTTACTTCTCGTAAAGTGCAAATGTGTGAAATTACTTGAAAAGTAACTTGTACAAATACTTGGAAAGTAATAATGAAATCAGTATTCGTTTTCTATAATCGAAGTTCATAAATTCCAAACTTTTTATTTACATATTTGATAAGTTACTTGTTAATTCTTGTGTAGTACAATGTGTGAAATTACTTGAAAAGTACTAAGAAATGAGTATATTTTTACTGAAATCTTAGATTACAGATTACACACTTTATTTATATATATTACTCACTATTTGATAAGTTTCTTGTTAATTTTCGTGTAATGCAAAGTATGAAATTACTTGTAAAGTAAGTTGTAGGAATACTTGGAAAGTATTAAGAAATGAGGATTTTTTTTCTCAAATCTTAGATCAGAGCTACTACACACTTTATACACATATTACAGAATATTTCATAAGTTGTGAAAAGTGTAAAACTACATAAGATTTCTAACAAAAATATAATAAACAATGGTAAGGTTGAAGTGAAACAGCTATGATAATTTAATAAGCTTTTCTGTAAGCTCCAGGAAGTAGCTGAGTATATGTATGTATGTGTCCTAGATCCTTGGATTATTTATGTAAATTTATTAACATAAATGCAACAAAGTTGGACGTGGTCATGTTTTATGTATGTAATATTGACCGTAGGGTCTCTGCTCATTAGGTGGGAGACGAGGGGACGTCGGAGTAAAACTTTTGTTTTCGCTTTCGGCTTTATTAAATAATTTTAAAATTTAAATTTACTTTCGCGAGAACTTTGTCCGAGATTTTCATGATTATTTCATACAAATTTTTTTCTCTCCACTTTGACTTGACTTTTTCCCTTGCGGTTTTTGTTCACATTCGGATGAAACTCGTTTAATCGGAATTTATTCGGGATGAAAGACGAGTGGAAGGACATTTAATCATTTTTATTAAAGATTGCGTCCGGAATTCCGGTTGATGCCGAAATTAAGTGGCCACCTCCATCCTCCGAGGATGAGTAATCGTGTTACGAAATAACCGCTCATAAAATATTAATGAAGGGAGGCGGAAGCCAACCGCCTACTTATTATTAGTTTCTCCCCAAAAAAAACACCCCCCCTTTCATCCGCCCCAACCCTCTAACACTGAACGTTGGTCCCCTCTTTTTCTTTCATCCACCTTATTTCACGTGGTCTCCTATATTGCCGGATTTCCGATGTAAATGTACCAATGAAATTTTCACCGATTTATCTTTAAGCGACAGCTTATGAAATCCCATTACCAACACCGGGGGCGGCGCGAGATAAAAGACACCGGGATATTTTACATTCTTCATCATTTTATTTCTGTTCCGCCTCCCGGGGATGATGCCGTGTGCGAGGACGATCCTAATAATATTTGACGAAATTGGCGAAATTACGTGTACTCCGATTTTTTTGCGCCCCATTCGCAAATTTAATAATAATATCAATTTATTCACAACTTTACATATATTTTATATCGTCATATCACCAATAATTTGAAAAAAAAATGAATATCAAAAATGAGAGAATGAATAATACTAAATAATTGCATTCACAAAGAAAGACAATATCAGAATTTAGCAATTTTTTTTCTTATAATTTAATTTAAATTACTTTGGGTTTGAAGTAAAAACATGTATTTGTATACTTATTTACTAATCATTTTCTTTCTAATATTTACAATTAACCAAATTAAATGTTGCTCAAGTTAAGTTAATTAAAAATTAGAAATATTATTACTAAGTGTTAAAAAAAATTAAATATTGTTTACGTTAAGATGCTCAAAAAAATATAAGAATTTCTACCAACAATAGACAAATGTTACTAAGTGACTGTAAAGTTTTAAATTATAGTAAGTTTTAAATATTGGTTAAGTTAAGATTCTCCAAAAAATATATTTTTTTAACTAAAAATTGACAAATGTTACTAAATGACTGTAAAGTTTTAAATATCACTTAAGTTAAGATACTCAAAGATTTGTTTTTACTAAATTGATAAATATTATTATAGTAAGTGTTCCATAAGTTTTAAATATTTGTTTAAGTTAAGATTCTCAAAAAAATATATTTTTCTTAACTAAAAATTGATAAGTAATTATTAAGTTAAGATACTCAAAGATTTTTTTTACTAAAAAATGATAAATATTATTAGTAAGTGTTCGATAAGTTTTAACTATTGGTTAAGTTAAGATGCTCAAAAAAATATAAGAATTTCTACAAAAAATTAACAAATATTAGTATGTGACTGGAAAGTTTCAAATATTGATTAAGTTAAGATACTCAAAAAAATATTTTTTTTACTAAATATTATTATATTAGTATAATAATGTTATATTATATTAGTAAGTATTCAAAAAGTTTTAAATATTGGTTATGTCATGAGAAAAATAAAAGAATTTCTACTAAAAATTGACAAATTTTACTAAGTTAAGATACTCAAATATTTTTTTTTAATAAAAATTAATAAATATTATTAGCAAGTGTTCGACAAATATTAGTAAGTGACTGGAAATTTTCAAATATTGATTAAGTTAAAATACTTTAAAAAATTATAACAATTCTTCTAAAAGTTGATAAATATTATAACCAATTGAACGAAAAGTTTTAAATATCATTAAAGTTAAGATACTCAAAAAAATAGTTTTTTTTTTACTAAAAAAGGATAAACATTATTATATTAGTATAATAATGTTATATTATATTAGTAAGTATTCGAAAAGTTATAAATATTGGTTATGTCATGAGAAAAATATAAGAATTTCTACTAAAAATGGATAAATATTATATTAGTATAATAATGTTATATTAAATTAGTAAGTGTTCGAAAAGTTTTAAATATTGGTTAAGTTAAGATTCTAAAAAAAAAAGTATAATTTTTTTTAATAAAAATTGATAATATTACTCAGAGAACGAACGAAATTTCTCCTAAAAATGATAAACATTATAGTTTAGTAAAGATAATGAGAAAAATATATTTTTGTAACTGAAAATTGATAATTATTAGTACCAAGTGAACGAAAAGTACTAATTTATAATTAAAAATGTTATATATTTCAGATTATTTATTTAGATTGAGACATGTTACAAAATTAATTATTTTAAAGTGCATGCCCCTATAAGCCTTTTGGCATTTTTATGGTTATAATTTAAAAAAAAGAAAAAGAGGAGCGTTACATTTGGGTTAATTTGCGGGTAAGTGTGAGTCTACATAGAAGTTTTACATGCTTTGGTGTGTGTGTGAGTGTTTGATTGTGGGGAGAGTGTAGTGTGTGTAAGTTTTTGTTTGCAGATGAAGTGTGTGTAAAAGAGTGTTTGTGAAGATGGTGATTGGTGATTTTGTGACGATTGAATGATGGATTAATGGTTTCTGCGAGTGATCAAAAATCAAAAAAATATTCAATTCTACTAAACTACACAAACCTCTAAATATGAATAAACTATAATTAATAATACGTTAATATATCTTTCTATAATATTGAATTTAAATAATATAATTACGTATTAAATAATCAATCAAAATTTAATTTTAAATTAAAGTTGAAATATCACATCAGATTTATATTGTTTGCAGAGCAATGTACGTGAAAAGCTTTACAATATTCATTTTATATGTTTATATAAATTCTCGTCGAATTGCATAATAATAATATCATTTCCGTATTAGCTCTGCTAAAAAAGCGGAACGAAATATTGATATTACGGCATTTATACAAAAATACTATTTGTGTCCACGGTCATTCTGTGCGAGGCGTTTGATTTAAATGGATTTCTCGTGAAACAAAACAAAACGTACACACACAAAACAAAACAAAACAAAACAAACAAAGAAGCAAATAAATAAATGGAAGTTTAATATGCGTTTGCTTGATTCCGTTTCCGTGTTACATAAGCGTTGGAAGAAGGGTATTAATATAGTGAAGGGGTTATTATTTCCGCTTCTCTGTTTCCATTCTTCCGGCTGCCTCCGCATTCCCGGATCACCGGCACCTGTTGTTTTCGTAAGTACATATACGTACGTTTGTTGGTTTTGGTTTTCTCTATTCCCCTTAACCTTCCTCCCTTCCTTACATCACCCTTTCGTCTCCTCCTAAAACCGCTCCCACATTTTCGTTTCCCCCCAAAGAAGATTCCCTTCAAGAAATGAGAACGAATTATTGTTCCACAGGGGTTCAATAAACCCATTGAACCGGCACTTGGCGAGTTTCCCTTTCAAGCCAGCCTCATGCAACTTTTAGATGACAAGAAGTCTTATCATAGCTTCTGCGGCGGCAGCCTCATCCATCCGGAATGGATCCTAACGGCCGCCCATTGCATACGGCTCGACGAAACCGCCCCCGCCATGAAAGCGTAAGAAGTCCTCTGAGCGAGCACCCGTCTCCAACCAACATCCTCGATTCCTTAGCCTCCCCACATACATTATTATTACGTAACCGCATAAAACTTTTCCTGCAAAAATTTCAGGAGCGAAGTTTACGTCGCTTTGGGCAGCATCTACAGAAGTGCTCGAGGCGCGCAGATCATTCGGGCCGCAACCCTCAAGATTCATCCGCAGTATTTGAGTTCTGGAGGAAGGAACGATATCGGTCTAATTAAATTACGAAGACCAGCCAAATTGGGTAATTATTCTACTTACTTTATTTTTTCTTTATTTTCTTTATTCCCTCTACTTAAACTTTAGTTACAGAATCTTATAAAAGCAATAGCGTATGCAATGAAAATGCAACAATTTCATCAAAGTATATACAAAATTATAAACATTTGCTTTAATACAAAATCAAACTATACTAATACTGAAAAAAATATTTTGCGGACGAATGGCGGATATATTCGCCGAAATTAATATACAAAAATCTATCATTATGCAAAATTGTATGAATTATCACTGTGATATCACAGTTATCAAATCTTAATCTTTTTCAGACGAAGCCATCATTTATACATCCTCAAAAGGTTAAAATAAGACAATTTCAACAAAAATGTATTGATTTCAGAAATATTAATAATTACTTAATGTTAAAGTTAACATTTGAAATGTGCTAAATCTATATACTTGATATAATCCATTATTTAAAAATATAACTGTCAAAGTGATTGTCATTTTTTTTGGAAAATTTAAATAATCAAGTCAACTTTGCTTATTGTTGTAACTTGGGTTTACAAATGTCATTTGAAATGTCAAAAATTATAATGGACAACAAAAAATTTATAACATAAAAACTATGTTAAAGAAATATAAAAATACTTACATGATCAAAAAAATATTTATATTTCAATTATATTTTTTTTTAGAAAAGTTTTTTTCAGTTGATTTTCAGTCAATTTCCACCTCACTTTCAAAAGTCAATATATTTCCGTGAGACGACACACTCCGCTCTTAATGCAAACCGCGAATATAACTTAGACTTTGTTTTGTTTCCATGGCAACTCGCAATGGGAATATTATATAGCCTACTATGTGTGACCCACATAATGTGGGTCCATCTTAAAAGCAGTGCTACTAAAGTCAGAAACATTGAAACAAACTTTAAAGAAAGAATACAGGAAGGGAAGTTTCCACGATCCCATAAGAAATGATCCGGAAAGTAATGAGAAACCTTGGTAAAGTAAATAGTTGAGTGAAACATTTCACAATTTGTGAACTCAGCAAACCTGAAATCTGAAAGAAAACGTAATTAAAAGTCGCATTTCATAAAATCCCAGTGTACACAAAAATAAAATAAAAATAAATATTCAGTTACAATATCAGCATGTATCAAACTGTGGCTTTGTAAAGGATGACTTGCGGATAATGATGATGATGTGCTTCCGTGTTCATGCTAGAATGGGCCTATTATTAATCTTTTTTGCACGAGACAACAAACTGTACCACTGACAAAACGGACCTTTTCATGCCCGACATGTTATTTGTTTATAACATGAACTTCGTAGCGGAACAACAAGAAACAAAACAAAAATGTGTGTGTTGTTATGCAACGATTTGAATAAAATTGACACAAATCAAATGATAATAACGCAGAAATTGCTTGAATTCCGTGCAGAACGGAAAAATAATGAAAATAAAACTGAAATATCTTCCATTTTTTATTTCACGAGGCAATCGTGTCATATTGAATTCTCTTTCTGAAAACATCAAATTTATTACAAAATTTCCTATTTTCATTTTATAATAAAACTCAGAAACAAAGCAAAATGTACAATTGGAAATACAAAATTTAATTTAGAATCTATAATTAATAATATATTGATAAATGCATAATTGTAATGCATATGATTTCCGCGTAATTCGCTGTCAAAATTGAAATATGAAAATTAGAAGCCTCAAAAAGTAGAGTCATTCCATTTTATCGCGTAACTCGTAAACAACGAATGCTAAGTTAATTACTGAATATGCAAATTAAAGCTAAATCTATACAGAATACATTTATTATAATTACATAATTGGAGCGCATATTATTTTCGAGTAATGAATTTTTTAAATTTTACTAAAAAAAATGTTTTATTCTCAACTAAATATATTTAGTAAACATGATTAATTTTTATAAATTTAATATGTTTAATATATTCAATTTTCTTTGTAATCTGTTTACCTTTTCTTTTATTTTCCATTTTCCGACCACGCTTTATTAAATCAATACAAATAAAAAAAAATGTTGTGCTTTACGAGGGTCGAAGGAAAAATAAAGGACTTCATAAATTATGAGCTGGGGGTTGCACCGATTTTACGGGATTTTCTGGTTACCCGTGGATCCGAGCGTCCCCGGATTAATAGATATAAAACGGAGGCAATTCTTTTTTTCAGTCAGTCTGAAGCGCGATTTGCACCGCGTTATGTAAATAATATATTCTGCTTTACGACTGTAATTAACTTTGCCTATTACATTCGAACAATTAATCTTGATACCGAATATTAGCGCGTGATTACAAAATATTTTACATAATTTGATTTATTTATCCATTACCAACTGCACCGGTGATATTATTTAAATAATTATACAATTTTTCAGCAGTTTTATCATAATTAAATATTGTGTAACCATGGAAACCTAATCTCTAACTAATGACATCATGTCCTAACCTCTCGTAACCTAAGCTAACAATCAATCTGACTTGAGTAAGAGTTACTGTAAAAAAAACTTTAAACTAAAAATAACCTAACTGAAAAATTCTAAACCTAATTTAGCCTAAGATTCATGCTTACTTTACCAAGTTTCTATTTGAAGAATTTTTGATATAAGTGGACATACGGACATCATATCCTAACCCTTCATAACCTAACTTAACATTCAATCTAACTAGATTAAGAGTTACTGTAAGAGACCTTTAACCTAAACCTAAACTAACTGAAAAATTCTAAACTTAATTCAATTTAAGATTCGTGCTCACTTAACCAAGTTTCTACTTGAAGAATTCTTGATACATGTGACACCATACGGACATTTCATTCAAGCTAACTTGTTTAAGAATTACTGTAAGAGACCTTCAAACTTAACTAACTGAAAAATTCTAAACCTAATTAGATCTAAGATTTGTGCTCACTTAACCAAGTTTCTACTTGAAGAATTCTTTATAAATGTAGACACCATGCAGACAAGATATCCTAACCTTTCATAACATAACCTAACATTCAATCTAACTAGAATCTTTTTAACCATTACCCCAAAATATTTTTGCGTAAGTCGATATTAACCCACTCCCCATTCTGAAAAGAAAACAATCAATGTAAATTTTAAATAAACATTATTTATTGAATTAATTTACATTTACATATTTATAAAAAAAATTACATGAAAATAGTAAGTATGTAATAGACAAACAAAATAAAATTCTTAAATTGGAACAAACAAAAATTAATTGAAAACTTTCCCCCTTCAGGTTTTGGAAAAATGATGTTGCTTCATGTTTGATATTACTTTAAAATTGGGACTTTTTGATGTAAGAGCAATTTGAAAAATTTTCATTTTTACCCCATTTGGGGTAATTTACCCCGGTTCCCCGACCGCTAAACTAGACCAAGAGTTACTGTTAAAAGCCTTTAATCTTTACCTAACCTATCTAACCGAAAATTTGTAAACCTAAAAAGTTACTTCTTGAAAAAAAAATCTTAATATAGGCGGAGTCCATACGGATTTCTTTACCTAACCTAACCTAATCTAACCTAACCAAATTACTAGAAAATACTAATTATTCATACAACGAATTAAAATGAACGTATTGGATCGTGTGCAAGCAAATTAATGTAATTGAAATCTGTATTTTCGCAGCTAAAATAATAATATTGTTTCATTATTAATAGGATCAATGTTGTATTTAAACAAATAAATTGTTATTGTTATAATAATAATTATTGAGTTCAACCAATTCACTGATAATTCTCTGTATTGAAGTATGTAATAGTGTTGCTTTTTATGAATAAATATGTATTGTTTCAGGTAAAAATGTGAAATTAATAAAATTGCACCACAATAATGGCGAGGATCTGCAGGGGAGGAGCGCATATTTGACCGGATTCGGTATAATTAATGGTAAAAAAAAAAATATTCACTAAATATTATTCACAATATTTCAAGAGTCGCGCTTTTGTTTTTGCTATCTATATCGAAATTTAGTTATTCCATTATATTGCGCGCAATTTAGTATCTATAAATCATGTGGCAAACGAAACAGCAGTCGGATTTATGCGAATACCAATAAAGCAAGATTTAGTTCATCCATTGATGGATATCCGGTTGTAAAACGATGATTATCTTTTTGTGTGTGTGTTTTTTTTTGGTTGCAGATTTCTATCAGATGCCGGAAAGACTTCGGAAGGCCACGCTGAAAGTTAGCAGCTACAAAAAGTGCTACAACGACGTCGAGTATGAGGACAAAGAAATTTGCGGAGCATCCACCGTTGAACAGGGGAAAGCTTGCAAGGTAGAAGAAAACATCAGTTGGTTAATTACGCAAGGAATACGTTGCAATGTCTTAATGAGTCTTGAATGTCCTTTTAAGATCGCTAATTTCAGGGAGACAGCGGCGGACCGTTAACCGTCCTGCAGAATAACAAGCTCATCCAGATCGGAATCACCAGTCGGCTGGCGCTTCTACCCTTCTGCAGGATCGGCTTCAACCACTCCATCTACACGAGAGTATCGGCGTACATAAAGTGGATCTCGAAAGTGACCGGCATCAATTTCAGCAAATTCACGTCCTGAATTCGCGAAACTCGTTCCATTATTCACTAAATAACTAATGAATCCAAAACATAAAACAAAACTAAATAAACTAAAAGCAGAACATCCGTTTGTTTCCATGCATATTTCAGTTGGATTTTTCAATAATTTAAGCCGATTGCAATTATGACATTTCAATCACTACTATCTACGGACGCGCATTTAACAAATGGAAAATTTAATTCGATTACCGGCGAAATTATTGTTTAATTGGTTTAATTTTTAATTGCGCATTGCATAAATAACGATGCAATGTGTAATACGGACATTTCGCCAGTTATAAATAATCGCATCCGATGGTTAAAAGTTAGCCCCCTTTTCACGTGTTGCAACGCGCAACGAAATAATAATAATAGACAAAAAATATATATACATGTATGTGCAGTAGCAATCCGCCTGTGACGCAAACAATTAACATTTAAATTTGATACGTGAAACATTGAAACGACGGCTCGTGTTCAAATTATATTGCTGGGAGCGCGAATTCATGTTTTATCTTAACTTATCCGGAGCGCATTTAACTAATTTAATTAGAATTGTAAATTCGTATCCTAATTAAAACAAACATCCATTTAATTAATGTTATGCAAAGATTAAAAGTATACACAACGTTTTCTATACAAGATGTTCATAAAATATAAATAAATCTTTTAATTACGACATAATTACTACTTATAAAAAAAACCCACTTTTCTTAAATATTTAATTAAGTATAATCTTTACAATTTGAGTAATTTAAAGAAACTATAATATTTACATAGTTCAGAGATTCCAATTAAAAAACTCAGTCCAATTTAAATTTGTATAAAGAACTTTCTTGAAAAAAGTTGCAAAACTTTTAAGAATGTGTTTTTCACATATAGTTAAGTCAATTTACTTAGATGTGTACATAAACTACCATAGAAGTACAATATAGATATTCTAACTATTGTCTTACAATTTTTCAGCAACTTTAGTATTAGATTCAAATGAAAAATTGTAAGAATAAGCTAAGATTATTATAGCAAAATGTAAAATTCACAAAATCATGAATTCAAATATATTTGTAACTGTTTCTTTAAAATCAAAGACTTTTGATGATGTTAAATGTTTTGCAAAATCTGTAATTCAAGAACTGAAAATTTCCAAAATACTGAAAGCAAACGCCACCTTTTCCAAACATTACCAAAGTTTTCATAGATTATAAAACAGATTCCTGCAATGATCACATTATAAGAATAACCTTAAAATTTTAAACTGAAATAACATAAGAGTTACAAGAAAATGTATTAATTTGATTTGAACAACTGTTTGAGATGAATTACATAAGTAGAAGCATTGTTAGATTGTACTGCACAAAACCGAGGGTTATTTTGAACAGAAAGTATTTAGTTCCAAAGTATCCTGCACAAAGCACAATCGATGCAAGAAAATTGCCTGAGAGGACAAAGATTGATGCAAATACAATTGCATTGCTTGAAAGGTTGTCCCTAGTAGATTGTGCCAATCGGCAAAGCATTGAGACTTTGGAAGAGGCTATAGCTTTTGCTGATCAAATTCTGCAAGTGAATACAGAAGGAGTAGAACCATTGGTTACTGTGTTAGAGGATAGGTAAGAATTACATTATGAATCTTATTGGATTTTTGATTGTTGATATTTTAGGCCTTTGGTTGTTAGAGAGGACGAAGTAACTGAAGGCAATAGAAGAGCTGAGGTGTTATTGAATGCTTCAGTGGTGGAGGATGAGTATTTTGTAGCTCCACCAGGAAACATCCCATTAGAAGCAAGAGAAAACCTCTTGCATGAAGAGGAAAAATGCAACTAAAGCAAATACTTAGTCTGAGCCAAAAGCATGGTCTTCTATTGAGCTCCGATCCATTTAAAATTGGACCAATAGGTTCCATACTCATGCAAAACTTAAACACTGAATGGCTCAATAGCTTAGTCAACAATAAAGAATACCCAATTTTTTATGATAGTGATAATTTCAATGATAGTTACAATTTTGTTAAAGGTTTATGTTCTGAGACATTACCCTTTGGTATCGCTGATACAAAAAGTACACAAATTGAAGGAAACGACGTGTTTTCAAGTCTCTTCAGCGTCTCCGATTACTTAAGATGCAACGTTTTCGTTGCGCCCACCGAATCCATGCAGTTTTTCCATCAATGGCAACGCTTGAGGAGAATGTGGTGGAGGAAATTCTCTTCAACTCCTGGCCGATATTTCACCACAGATATGCAGAATAACGACGGTCAGCACACTGTAGAAATCCGTGCAAAGTATCCTTGGGGAGAGCAGTTGGTGGAAAAGCTACAAATGAACGAGTCGAAACAGCAATCGATCTCTGAAGAGCAAAACGAAGTGATTTTCTGTTAACTGTTGATTTTTCAAATAATTAAATTATATGTTTTTAGTGTAAATTCAAAAATATTTCGGTGCAATCGCATCACGTTTCCAGCGAAATCTGCAAACCAGTTATGTTCTTGAATACCGTTTGCGATGCGTACGAGGAGCTGCCGTTTCAGGATGTAAAAAGAGTGATGTTTCGGTTCCACAGAAAGCTCGCACCTTACAAAATAAGCTTCGCTGTCTGCAACACTTATTGTAAGCAATTAGCTGTTAATTCCATTCTCGAAATTAAATCTCTATCTTCGTTTCAGCTTCAGGAGTCACAATAGAACTGTACGATCTGGCGCAATACCTATGCAAGAAGTTGAGGACGAATAACGTGAGTTCTTTGTTGCTCCCGAAATGCACCACGGATAAATTGGAACAGCAATACCTGCAGAACGACTTCATAGGTGTGCCTTACACGGTCATTCTGAACGAAGGTACTTTGAAGAACGGCGTTGCTTTATTGAGAAGCAGAGATACAACTCTTAAGGTGAGTTTAATTGCTCTTCATCATCAGTTATTACAATTAATTTCGTATTATTTCAGGAGCAAGTCCATGTGAGCGAGTTACCCGAATACGTCGATTTGTTATTCAAAAACTATTAACCAAACAGAATTTATTAATCAATAAAATACAAAACTTATTAAAAAAATTGTTTAAATAAAACAATAAAGTACAAAATCATATAATATACAATCATTTTTTTGATGTTTTCTTCTCATTTTACGCACATTTACAATTACCTAAATTTTACTGAAAAATAAATAAATAACAGGAATTATTAGTATAAGCAAAAATAAAGAGAACTGAATGTATAATACATTTATTTAATATGGAAGCTTTGGGTTTCTAAATATTGAAATTAAGTTTTTTCTTTGAAAATCACTTTTCAGGATTCCCAAAAAGTCAACATAATTTCTCTAGTCTACAACAGCAGCTTAAATCTAACAATTAATTAGCTAACAGTTAAAGCGTAATCTTCCAAAAAGTATGATGCTTTTTTTTATATTAAAATACTTTTAGATCCAGTGTTTTCACCTCATTCTACAAAACAATTGATATGATCGCAGTCATTGAGTAAACATAGAATTACTTGTAGAATAATATTGGATACAAAAAGATGTTTAATACTGCAATTCTTAATGTTATACATATGTACTATTATTATTTAAAGAGATGATGTTTTCATTCACTTGTGAAAATATTTCAGTTAATATTTTTAGAAAAAATTATTGATTTGCATTTCTTATATTCTATTTTTCGATATTAAACTGTATTATTTATAGCCAGATTAGTCTGTTCATTAGTCTGATGTTTTTTTTTAAAGTATTAATGTTGTAATAATGGACATTTAACACATTCTGTAGCTGTGTTAAAATTGTTTCAGCTGAATAACTGAAATTTGTAAATCCAGTTCAGTTATGAATTTAACAGCTAATTTTCTCTTCCCCATTTATCATTTAACACAGAAAGCGAGCACTAAAGTGTGTATGCAATGCTACTTCATGCACTTAATTATCTGTTAATTAAAACTATTGTCGACAGCCAGATTGAAATTACATTTAATCTTAGTCTAAATGTTCTTTGGCAACGGATAGGCCGTAATTACTTCATACAACATCGATTACAATCTAAACACTGAGTAAACTAAAGAATTATTAATTAAAAAGACGCGAACGGAAAGGATTAAATTAACACATAAACAGTCCATTTATTTAAAAAAAATTAAATAAACAAATTGAAAATATTATCACAGAACATGTATAATACGAAAACAAACAGTTAAAACACTAGTCGCCTTATACTTCAATAAACAAAACAGAAAAGAAAAAGTAATAAAGAAGTTTTAGTCCTCATTGTTTTTTTTAAGGTACATTCGATGCAATTTACTGCACATTCTGTAAATCGCACGCGCATGCAACATCTATTGAGCTACTGTTGAAAGCCATACATCTATAAAATTATTATAAACTATTTTTTTCTGTTTATACGAGCCAATGCGTGTTTACTCCCATTTAGCTTTAACCTTCTTCTCGTAAGTGTTCTTATCGTCGTCATCTTTACCATCGTCTTCGCCGGAGCTGGTTTCAGGCTTATCGATTGCATACAGCTGGTGCACGGTGATCACGGCCACGACGCCGGAGATGATGAAGGACAGACGATAAATCGAGATGATTCCGTACATCATCGTGACGACGCAGGTGATGATCATCATCACGCTGAGTTCGTTGTAGAACTGTTTCTTTACGCGAGGGAAATCGTACTGCCACAACGCAAAAGCGCAAGTGCACAGTACAAAAGCCGGTGTTAAAGCCGGATCGGATTCCAAATATTTGCTGTATCTAAATCAAATGATATTGAATTTCAGTGTTAAAAGAATTAATGAATTAAACTTACTTGAAGTTGTGAGCCCAGGTCAGGAGAGATGGAATGTTCAAGATGGTAACGAACAAGTAGAGCAAGAATATGGTGAAATGGAAGAATATCTCGTTATTCTGCGCGATCTCTTTAAGGATCTTCAAATCCATCTGCTTCAAAATGCTCGCAGCCGTTGCCTCATCATCACCGGGAGTTTCTGGTTCTTCGACCGGAGGATTCACCGGCTTCTTCTCCTTACCTTTAGTCTTCTTACCGCCGCTCTTGTTCTTTCCAGAACTGCTCGACTCTCCTTTCGATTTAGGCTTCTCAGCCTCACCGTTTGCCACATCATCAGTCTTTACGTTTTTATCCTCAACAGCTTCGTTCGCAGTCGGCGCTTCAGTCTTCTTACCCCAACGCTTCTTAATCTTCTTCATAAGCTTATCCGTTAATTTACCGCCAATCTTCTTGAAGAACCGCTTCACCAAATCCTCGATGAAATCTTGCGACATTTGCGTCAACTGAAGTAAATTTATATAATACCAATTTTTTTTTACATCTGAAATCAAAATCTCACCTTCAAGAAATATATTACAGTCGCGATGACCAGAGCTAATCCTCCGCAAGTCGTAACGCTCATCACTATTAAAATAATTGCAATTGGCCCTGGGATTTTGTGGAGGACGCTTAATAAATTATCGTGCAACGTAGAATTCCCTGATAAAATCTTTCCGCATAATCTATAAATGATTTATATTTCGAATTTAAATCTTCCGAAGCTTTAAATACTTACTTCAAAACGCCTCTATGAATGCTAGATTCGTAGCAAACCAAACTAACGGATAGGGCGACTGCTAATAACCAAACCAAACCTACGCTGATCGTGTAAAGGAAGAACGGAAGGATAAAGAAATCCAATCCTTCGTCCGCAAGTATTTGCCAATCGGGAATCGGTATGAGATTGGCGTGACCCAAAGGAGCAAGCAGTTTAGTCAACACTCTTAATCCAGTCACCAAGAAATAGGGTTTCGCTGCTTCTTTTATGGCCGAAAAGAATATGGAACATTTCTCTTCCATGGCTATATTCAAGAGCTGGTTCTTCAGAGTCATCAAAACCACAGCTACCATGTTCGCAACGATATGCGGCGAATAAAATCTAACCATATTAGCAAAATGATATCCACTTTGTATCCTGAAAAATAAAAATTAAATTAATCTAATTTAATTATTCGCGCTGAAAACATACCTTATTTTGTAGCGACAAGTGGGATCTAAAGTTAAACGTACTGAAGCGCTCTGGTTTCCTGGTATGGTCGGAGGTTTGGAATTGAACAGTCGCAGAGGTATTGGGTCTCTCTTGTTTTGGCTAAAATTAGTTGTTTTTTGTATTATAAAATAATATTAGATGAGTATTAATGAGCATACGTTACGAAATCGTGCCAATCGTAGTTATCCCAAGGCACAACTAAACTAATCGTGGCGTGATGAGCTTGTCCGGTGCATTCAAGAGGATCCACGTAGAGAATGTTCGAGTGGATTATATGCGAGAAGTAAGGTAAAAGGATTTCGTAGTGGATAGCTTTGTCTTCAGTTGTGCCCACGATGGTCACAATATCGTTGCTATACCATTTCGGAGCGTAGTTCAAGAAAATGTTCCTCTCGCCCGGGTTGTAAACATCGACGTGCAGCACAACCGGTTCATCTGTTGGCATAATTCTAACAACAGTGTGCGTCATCGCCGTGTAATTCTCCTTCAACTCCTTCATATCGACCCTCAACGTCCTGCGTTTGTAAGCCAAAGAAGGCGAAATCTCTGATAAATGAGTCAAGTGTCTTCCCTCCTGACTGAAATCATGAAATTAATATTAATAAAACCACTAATTTGAAAGATTTTGTTTTACCAGTAACGTTTGTGACCATCAACAACGACTTCGGGACACGCGAAAACCCAATCAGGAGATTCCATATTCATAATAACAATAGCCAAATCCTTGAATTGCTTCTGCGCTGGCATAGGTATCATGTAATACCTAGGATCTTTAGTGCCTTTAGGCAGCCTCACAGAGTACTGCTTGTAAATACTCTCGAACCATTCCCCGTGCGAATTCAAATTGGTTGCCAATTCGAAACTGTTTTCCACGTAAACTTTAGTACCGCTATTCTGTTAATCAATTAAAATAATTAATAACTTAAATAATAATAAAGTTTATAAACAATCACCTTCACTAAATGATGTTTGAATATGGCCAGACGCGTATCGTGATCTCGCGAGATCTTCTTCGTTTTAGCATCGATGGATTCGAAGAGAGCGCGATTTATTGCCATCACCAGTTGCTTGCACCACACGATTTGAACGTGGTCGGTGGATACCCAAGAACGTGGAACGCCAGTCGCCTTCAAATTTAAAAAAAAAATCATAAAGTATTTATTAATAAATGCATGATTTAAACACGTACCACTGTATGAAGGTGTCCATCCTCAGTCAGATGCGTATTTATTAAAACGTCGTTGTAACCACCAGCCACGCTAATAAAGGTTGTTTCAGGTTTCGGTTTATAGTTTTGATTCACATTTGCGTAGAAAGCATGTGTGTATCTATCAATGTCCAAAGCAGGTCTCTTTAGAGGAGCTGCAAGAGCTAGTACAATTGGAATCATGTTGCTGCCTTCAGGCAGCAAAGAGATGATAGCTTTAGCTATTATTCCTCCCTAATAATTAATAAACATTAGTCAAATATAGAAAACATAATTATAATTAAATGTTACCATTGAATGTCCAATTAGAATAATTTGCTTTTGAGGATTCCTTTGCCTGGTGTATAGATCCAACACCTTGTAAATAGAATGGTTAACATAATCCAGCTGCTCACTCAATAGTGCCCCATTGAAAGCGCTCAATTCATAATTCAAATCAACTGTGAAGTAATCGAAATGTTGAGGGGTCCTTGAATTGATTGCTTTCCTCAATGAAATGGAACCCAGAGAACGAACTAAAAGTAAAAGCAAATTATTAGAAGAGTTTAAATTAAATTTAATTAGTAAATACCTTGCTTATGTGAGCCCATACTGCCAGGTATGAACAGTATGGGAATTCCATTGAACTGCATGTTTCGGGCCTTCTCTGTGGCGCCTCCTTCACTGTATGCATACAATCCATACTTCTTGTATTTCTCATCAAATTTGGTTGAAACCCTCTGAAATTATTGAAGCTTTCAATCACTGTACATCTCTAATCATAGATCAAAGTAAATATAAGGTATTTGTTTAGATAATATTCTTATCAGAAGTGAATTTACATATAGCTACTCACCACAAACTGTGGATACTCAAACATATAAGTCATCTCGCAATTGCCGCTTTCATCTCGATCTTTGATGAAGGATATAATGCTCGAGAAGTATATCGCCGTTATTATCAACGAGATGATGATGATCAGGTTGAAGGGATTCATCTTTGCTGCTCGGAATAGCTGATCCACCTTCACATACTACCTGCGATCTACCTGTGTCTGCGACCACCTATGTCGGAGCTGAAACTAATATGGTCTTCCAAAATAGTATTTAATCAATATTTTTAGGCCACACACTCGTCCTGGGAATATCAACAGATGCTCAATTAGGTGACCCACTGAACAAAAAGTGTTTTGTTATGATTCATTGATCTGACTAGGAAATCAAGTGTTCTTGCGCATTTGTACGACAAACCAGTTTATTTTAATACCATTACCAGGACTCCACATATTTATATCCTTTACGTAGAAAATGATCTTAGTACCTTAAAGTAACAGAGATATTTTGGAAGATGATGGATAGTATAGTTTTGGCAAATAAACTTTAAAACTTTCCTAAATTAAACAAACTAGTTGCAATTAAACTTACATAGATTATTTTAATAAATGATAATGTAATTAATAACGATTGAATATATTAGAAACGATAACTGTTTAGTTAATATAATTAATTATTTATAAGTAATTTAAGTGTATGTGATAATTTTGAAATCATAGCTGAATTTTACTAATTGGAATAACATCATTTCAAACTTATGCAACCATATGTTCTTCATTGGTCATATGTATAATTGTAAATAAGTGTTTAAAAAGCAATATAATTTACGCTCATAAAATGGGCTTTAATTTTGTGTAGATAGAGTAAATAATCATAATTCATGGGGCAAGTGTTTAGTCTATGTTTGTAGACTATATAATAATAGGATTTTTGTATAGATTTTAGGTATTTCGCATGCAATTCTTCAGTAAAAAGATTGAAGGTTAAGTTTTACAATGGAGGCAAATAAACAAACAATTGAAGAAACCTCGGAAGAATCAAATAAAGCAACAATGAGTGAGGATAATAAAACTTCGGACAATACAGATGTCGAAATGGAAGAAGCCGATATGGAAACAAGCGAGGCGAGCAAGGAGGCAATAGCCAACGCTTTTATAAACATAGACGATAGAACAGATATATACTTGATGGATTCGGAAACTAAACAAGTAGACGAAGCGTGCGGTCCTTCGGATGAGGCCGACGACAGTAACAAAAAGAGCGAATTCGCATCTGTAAATTTGGACGATATGAACGCGGAGACGACGAACGTTGAGGACGAGGTACAAGATCCAATCGATGACCCCATGGATGTTTCTCAGGATGGATTTGATGTAAAAGACTCTGAATTCGTTGCTGAGAGCACAGCGATACTCCAACGGGACTCGGACACACAAACGGACGATAACAGTTCCGGCATGGATAAAGTGAAAGAGTTCGAGGATGAGACTATACTCCCGAGCGACGACGATAAGGATAAGAAGTACACTATAAGTCATTTTCAGGAGTCCACTGAGAAAGATTGCGGGGTTTGCGAGAAGAAGTTTATACCTAAGTACCTTGCTCAGAGATCCGTGGATTCTATGTACATATGCAATGATGAATGTTTGGAGACTTTCAAGCAGAAGAACGTTGATAATTACGTGGAGAAAATACTCAGATTGAAGGCGTTCGCAAAAGCAGATGAGAACACGACTTCCGAAGAAGCGCCTTTTACCATTGAGGAAATGTCTAAGGATATTGAGAACGAGGTCGAGTCGGACGATTACTGTATAAATAAAGATCCTTTGAGGAAGTGTGGAAGTTGCAGGAAGCAGTTTGATATTGATAACTACGTTTCGTGGGAGGCCATCGACTTTTGCAACGAGAGTTGCTTGATCATCTTCCAGAAGACTATCAACAAAGACTGCGCTAAATGCAGGTGTTTAGTCCCCGATAATCTTTTGGCCAAATTTTGCGTTCGCTTCGGTAATACGATAACGCAATTTTGCTCAACGACGTGCCTCCTCTGCTACAAGAAAACGTACAAGTTTTGCGCGTATTGTCAGGAGGATTTAAGGGAATTGTCCGGACCAACGAAAAATTTCTGTTCGAAACGATGCATGCAAGTTTGTAGTCCGGACAAAGTGCCTAAAGACTCGAATCGTTGCGCCGTCTGTCATCTAGTTAAAACTGTGGAAGTGAAAATTCGGAAGGCGGATAAGATTTTCTGTTTTTGCGGCGAACCGTGTTTCGTTGCTTACAAATTCGTTAATAACGCAAATCCGGTGAAATGCGAGTCGTGTCCAACATACTTCGAGCCCAGATTCGATGATCCTCTTATATATTCGGAAACCGGCACGCACATGATTTGTTCGAAGGCCTGCCAGAAAATCTTCCTAATAACGAACAGGAAGATCGTCACATGCTGTTCATGCTCGGTGAAAAAATACAACTTCGATATGGTGAAACTGTTCGAGAAAGGTTGCGACATTGTTTACAGCTGTTCGAATAACTGCCTTCAAGTGCATTTCGAGCGTAGCTACGAGGTGAAGTTCCTGAGGCAGACCGAACCAAACCTGAAGCAACTGGAAGGCGTAGCAAAGAATTCAGAGTTCGTAGTTAACAACAAGAGCCTCTACGACATAATCAAAATGACTTCCAAGCAAAACAAAGTGCCCATCCACAAGATCACGCTGACCAGGCCGATTCCTCCAATTAAGCAGAGGAATGTTGCCACAATGTGCAAGCCGAATCTCTCCTCGAAATCGACGAGTATAAAACCTACGCTTGTATCAGTGGAAACACAAACGCACGAGCAAAGTAAATACTTTGTGCCTGTCCCTTGTCCAGTTCACGTTCCCTTGCCATTGCACATGTACACTGAAAATATTCCGATGCCTGTGCCCATTCCCATACCACTTCCGGTTCCCATCTTCATACCGACCGGAAGGAAGTCCATTGCGGGGATCCAGAAGGAAATAACGAAAATCAAGAATCGCGTACCAGCTGATCCCCTCGAAGCTGAGCTCCTCATGATGGCGGAAATGGCGGCAGGCGAAACCAAAGAAAACACTTCGTCTGAAAGCGAAACGGATGAACCTGCTAAACCCGCAGAAGAGACTTTCCAACCGGATGGTAAATATGTTTAATTTTATAACTATTATATCAAATTATCCTATGTCATGGATAAATTAACTAATTTTTACCATAATTAATATTTTCGACAATCATTCCAAGCTCAAATTAAATGTAATAATATAACACATTATTATAGAAACTAGAAAGAAACAATCATTCTTTAAAAGAAACAGTACTTTTATGTTAAATGTCTTTAAGAAAATCGAAATGGTTGTGAATTAATTTGTTAATGTAAATAACATTCTAATTAATACTTTGACTTTAAATATTTACAAAATGATCTGTTATATATTTGTCAATAAATTTATATAAATGTTAATTTTCGTTTATTTATGAATAAACTTTATTAAGTTTTGTGCTAAATGGCGTGACAAATAGTTCAACACAACGCAGCAGTTTCTCGTTACAACAGGAAAATAAATATGTAATGTTTATTGCCAAGAAATTTGAGTATGTGTCGTGTTGATTTTAATATTATCTTTGTATATATTCCATATATGTTTCATTTGCAGAAACGACGATGGAAGCAAGCACTTCGTTCGGCGAAGACGTACTCACTATGGCTCTGAAGATGGCGAGCGATTTCGAAGAACCATCCGATTTGCATGCAGCCTCCTCGCCCGTTGATCCACAATGCTCTTCGGATCTGGAGAAGAAGAAATCCAAGTTGAAGTCCCCGAAGAGACAAGTGACGCCGCCTTCGCAATCGACTAGCACAGACGAGGAAAAGCCTGATACCAATTTGTGTTTGAAATACACGTTCGGGGTGAACGCCTGGAAACAATGGGTAACGATGAAAAACGCTGAAATTCAAAGGACGCAGAAGACACCGAAACTATTCAAAAATGATATTTTGCAGTTAACTGCGGACGATTTGAATTTCTCTTTGTGTCTTTTCGTTAAAGAGGTGCGGAAGCCGAACGGGGCGGAATACGCGCCGGATACGATTTACTATCTGTGCCTTGGGATTCAGCAATACTTGTACGAGAACGGAAGGGTCGACAACATTTTCTGCGATTCGTTCTACGAGAAGTTCACGAACACCTTCAACGAGGTCTGCCAGAAGTTCTCGAATCTCTACAACAACTCCCAGTTCATCGTGACGAGAGTCGAGGAGGAACACCTTTGGGAATCGAAGCAGTTGGGCGCTCATTCACCTCTGGTTCTTCTAAACACTCTGATGTTCTTCAACACCAAGCATTTCAGTTTGACGACGGTGGATGAGCATCTGCAGTTGAGTTTCTCGCACATTATGAAGCATTGGAAAAGGAATTCGAATAATCCTGGATCACGACACGTACTTCTACGATTCTATCCCCCGCAAAGTGCAGATGGTAACAGGAAGAAACGCGTGTACGAGCAGGCTGAGAACGAAGTTAATCCGCTCCGTTGTCCTGTTAAGTTATACGAATTCTTTTTGTCGAAATGCCCCGAAAGTGTGAAGACTCGAAACGATGTGTTCTATCTACAACCCGAGAGGAGCTGCGTTCCGGACAGCCCCGTCTGGTACTCGACGATGGCCATGCCGAAGAAGCCCTTGGAGAAGATGCTGAATAGGGTTAAAATGGTCAAGGAAATAAATGTAGCGCTGCTCACGACGTAAATTATTAAAATTTTTATTAATAAAAAGAAATGTTTTGTTGAAATATATTTTTATATATATAAATATTAGAAAAAAATATTAAGATTTATTACTGAAATAGATAATATCATCAGTGCATTTAGTAAACTTACAAAGCTAATTTTAATTAATCAAAGGAAACAAAAAAAAGAAGTTAGTCATCCAGTCCTAACTCTGCTTCTTCTTCAGGTGTAAGCTCAAAAGCATTTGATGGCTGCTGCACCCCATTTCCATTCTGAGTGAAATCCACAATATCCAGATCATCATCATCGGCTCCATTGTACTTGCCACTCCTTATTTTCCTCGTGCTCTTCTCAACTTTCTCCTTTTGTTCTGATGGTGGCACACTAAGATCACCCTCGTATTCGATAACTTCATTCTGTGCTAACCTCCATTCCATATCTGCAGTGGAAAAATCATCCCTGTTGCCCAAAGTAGTGAAACCGACTAACTTATCCACCATGATGCCATTGTGGATGCAAACAATGGATGGAATGACTTTGATTTTCAGTTTCTCAGTAAGGAACGGACATTTCTCAGCATCCACTTTAGTGAACAGTGTTTCTTCATGCTTGGGAGCAATGATCTTGAAATGCATATCAACTATCTTGCATCTCTCATTGCTGTTTGTGTAGAAATGTAGGATTACATTCTCCGACTTCTTTATCACCTCGAAGAACTGCTTCTCCTCAGGCAGTTCATTGTATACTCCATGTCCATTGCTCAACCATTCTTTCCTCTTCAGCTGCTTGGCTTTCAACTCTTTCATGCGGCTTTTGCGTAGGCTTTCCAAATCGCCTGCATCCAATTGATCTATTTGTTCAATCACTGAGTCCACTTGCTGCTCAATGGTTTTTGTCACTTGCAATAGTTTATCGTTTATATCCATGATTCTGATATAATTTTACAATAATTACCCACGAATTATCACGAAATTAAGTAAATTTCTAACGGCTGCAGGTGAATGTATTCTGGCTCACCCACGAATTCAATTCAATTGAATCACTTGTCAAATTTTCTACAAGCAATTGCCAACTGCCTACCAGGCGCAACTTTTCAATTTCTATAGTAATTATCCAATTTCAAAGCTTCATTTAAATCAAATAACTTCATAAAGTCATAAATAAACAAGTACTGGAAAATTCAATAAAAACATCCAATGAAATCTAACAGTTTTGGTTATACAACCATACATGCACATAGTGTATGAAGGGTTGCTCTTGAAGAATGTCAAAGTGCAATGCTAGGAGTAAAGAAAGGTTGATGGTGCGCAGGGCAATGTGTTCTGTGTGTAGTAAATACATGATTGATTGTGTTTACACTCTCTGTTGTTTCATTTATTAAAGTGGATTGTTGTCATGGCTTCGATTGCAGAAACAGAGCCATGCTTAACTTGCAAAAGACCTATCAGAGGAGTGCCGATCTGCTTGGATTCAACCGATTCAGGCGAAAGCATAGCAAACCGCCAAAAGCTAAAGATATTGGTCCCAGAATTGGTAAGTTTAGTATCAAACGGAAATTATGGTAAAACTCTTCAGAGAAACATCATAATATTAGGTATATCATAATATACTTTTAATCTGTTGCCCTATTAGTCATCTTCAATGGCCGACAATTATTTACACCTATATAGCGCTACAGCTGTTATCATGTCAACTGTATAGGCAACTATACTATAACATCATCAATTGTTATAGCCTATATCAAACTATGACATTTTCCTGATTTTTCAATAATTTCTTAGGTCTTAGGTCGATAATCCTAGAAAGATAATTATAATAAGGATTTAAATTATAAATAATAGCTAATTATTATGGACTCTCATATATGAACCATATTAATTTATTCTAATTAATATCTATTAATATACTAATTCAATTAATTTTATTCCAATAATTAATATTTAATTAAAGAAAAAAATATATAATTATTATGTTTGTAGTGTTTTTGAACTTATTGCTTATTGTTAATTTGTTTGCTTATTTTTTTTTTATTAAAACAATAATTATTATTTTTAGTTGTGTGTGTCCAAGGTACAGTTAATATTGTAATCTCTGAATTGGTGTATTTAGCATATATTATATAATGCCATGAGATGGCGCACATCATTTCTGTTTAGTATGTATGCAACCAACTATGCTATATCCTATGGGTAATTCTCCGTTTTTTTTTGTTGTTTTCAGGATTTGCTCAAAAATAAGGTGTACATGCTGTGCATGAGCTGCAACTATAAACTATTGACCAGTTATACATTTCGAATGATGTGTTTATCGGTCGCATCCAACATGAAGGTGGATCCTACAGTTGTTGCCAAAGTAGAACCAGAAGATATCGATGATACATCTACAAAAGTTAGCAATGAGCAGAATCTGAATCCTCCGGTTTCAGTTGAACCAGCAGACACATCTGATGTGCAGAAGCGAAATGTTTTGGTTGTAGTTAAATCAACATCGCCAGCTACAGTAGATAAACTAGAAACAAACAAAATTATTAAGAATCCATGTTCTCCAGTTACGAATCAAACCATAACATTATCTGCATTTCTGAAACAATCACAAAATGGTAATATGCAGAAAGTGGTGTCAAAATCCAAAACTGAGCTTGGTAATCAAACAACAAATGAACATACTGAAAAACCAAGTTCTTCAGTTGCAAGTAAACCATTAACAGTGGCTACATTCCTGAAACAATCTCAAAATGTTAATGTGCAGAAAGTGTTGTCAAAATCAAAAGCAGCGCTTGGTAATCAAACAACAAATGCACATACTGAAAAGCCAAGTTCTTCAGTTGCAAGTAAACAATTAACAGTGGCTACATTTCTGAAACAATCTCAAAATGTTAATGTGCAGAAAGTGTTGTCAAAATCAAAAGCTGCGCTTGGCAATGAAACAACAAATGCATATTCTGAAAAGCCAAGTTCTTCAGTTGCAAGTAAACCATTAACAGTGGCTACATTTCTGAAACAATCACAAAATGGTAATAAAGTGTTACAAGTAGTTGGGAAACCATTGCAAACAAAAATAATTCTTGATAAAGCAAATTTAAATGGTAGAAGGGTGACGTACTTAAAGAAGTCTAAACCTCTAGTACCAATTAGACCAAAACTGGTAACCACTGATGCCCTGATTCTAAATAATAAGGATACTCCAGTTGTAGCAAAACCAACACCAATCGAAGTAGATGATAAAGTAATAATTGATATGCAGGAAAAACTTTCTAGTAAGTTGGATACCAAAATTGCTGTTACGCCTACATCTAAAGTTTATAAACAGATAGTAAACAGTGATAAGCAGAAGTCCGTTTTGAAAAAATTGGATTCTCCAGTTCCGGTTACAGCAGGAACAACTGTAATAATTGATAAAATAGGTCAGAAACTGGAGGTTAATATTGTTGATGCTCCAGTTGTTACTACAGAACCTGCGGCAACAAACGATACGAAGATGGATTGTTCAAATATTGCAGAATCTGCTGCAAAACCAGCTAAATCCACGGTGAAGAAGAATGCGCAGAAGTCACCTGGTAACATTAAAATAGTTCCGGCGTGTGATACATCGGATTTAGATGATCAAAGGAGTGCTCGCAAGCTCATCATGAATACGTTATACAAAGCTGTGATGGAGACGAAGGAGTCAGGCCTTACACCAGCGAAGAGACAGCTTAGGTTTACACCGTGGGAACCCGAGAAAAACCTGTCTGAAACTATAGTGAGCAATTGGAACAAGAATATTAGTTCGTTGGTACGAAACGAATTGTTTAATAATGGGACATCCGCTGAAAAGGAAGAAGGATCAGCTGAGGTAAACCAATCATCAGAAATAAGTGAACCACCGCCTGAAGTAAATGAACCACCTGATGTAAATAAACGACCTGATGTAAATAAACCAACTGAAGTAAATCAAACACCTGAAGTAAATTCAGCAGTTAAAGAAAATGAATCAGTTGAAGTAAAAACTGAAATAAAAACGGAACCAGACGATGTGGAATTTATTAGCGAGACCTTCCTGGAACCGTCGACGATTAAGAGCACCGTGAAGAAGAGCCACGAGGAGGAACAGCAGGAGCGGTCGCAGATTATTGATTTACCGATGAAAAGTAAAACGACGTTCCTCTGTAAATGCAATCACTGCGGTTTACTGCTGACCTCGAAGGAGACTTTAGTGAAACACATTCGGCAGCATTTCAAGAACAATCCCGTTCAATGCGATCAATGCAAGACGCAATTCGGAGACATCAGCTCTTACAATGCGCACATGTGTATCTACGAGACAGAAAAGAAGGCGGTGGTATCCGAATTCGAGCCGGAATGTCCGAAGCCGAAGGAATGCAAATGCAATCGGTACTTCGGCAACATAAGAACTCTGAACATCCATCTGGAAACTACCTGTGAGAACAGCACGTTCTGCATGACCTGCAACATGGGATTCGTCGATGTGACATCAACGAATTGTCATCTTCGCAACGTGCACAACTTGTTCCTATGCAATCTTTGCAGAAAGATGTTCAGAGACAAGAAGTACCTGATGACACATCTGCACGTGATGCACGAGAAGAAAGTGCCCAACAAGAAAATCAAATACCGTTGTCCCTTCAAGAGTTGCAAGAAAACGTTCAAATTCTACGAGACGTACGAGCTGCATCTGACGTACAAACATCAGGAATATTATTCGAATATTTATTGGGAAGATTGCAAAACTTCCTACGTGACATACATGTGCAACCTCTGTAAAAATAACGATAAGCAAATTTGTTTAAATTTACTCGACCAAAATGCCTTTATCGTACAACTGCAAAAGAATCACGCTTTATAAATAATGTTTTAATTTTTTTGTATAATTATGCAACCTAATATACTTTATAATTAAGAAATACAACAAAATGAAAGCTTACTTATAATCATGGATTATTTGCATGTTTTTGTTATTGGGTTTATTTTAGAAAATTTATTACCAGATTTTATATTATAAACATATTCTAGGATGAAAGAGTACAATAAAGAGATTTTTATATTTAATTCGTAAATTTATTTTTATTTAAATAATATTACCAAAAATGTTCGTTCTTTATAAGTATAAGTTTCTAGAGCAATTATAAAAAAAAAAATCAGCTGCAATAATCGAAAGTGCTGCAAGTTTATATGTAAATTAAGCGCTTGCAGCAGTTTCGCTTTTAAATAAATAATTTCCACTTAAAACAGTCTTCCCAAGAATACGGAAGATTGATAGAATGTTATACGATAAATATATAATTGATATTTAAAAAAAATAATAATCGTACTATTTACAACAATCATAAATACAATATTTACACAAAATTAAAAAGTAATCTAAGTACAAATTGTCTTAAATTTAGAAGAGGCAGTGAACTGATTTGTATATGTACAAAAGTTTCGTTTTCAATCACTTAAATATATTTCCGTGTAAAGAGCGAAAATCTTCCTTTCACCAGCAGAAGCATTCATATGCTATCACAGCGGACTCTCAACGATTCAGCAGATTCTCCGACTCGCCCACTTTCATCAGGTTCCCAGACAAGGTGTGATCGTCGACGCGATTCCTCTTGAAGAATCCGCATTTGTACAGTATGAAGATGATGAGGAGGAGCACGATCACTCCGACCACAACGGACACAATGATCAGCCAAATCTGCACTGAAGTATTCTGATCGGTGTTCTCTGGGAAGCACGACGTTTCCGCTCTTCTTTCGTCGTCGTTCGTGTCGTCCTGCTCCACGTCATCCGGGACGTAGATTCTTGCGCTGGAGACGATCTTCACAGAATCCAATTTACTGTAGTTCTCCACAAGAGTCGAGTTCCATATCCTAGCCTTTATCTTAATAGTCGCAGAGTTATCTTTGTTAACCTTCTTCAGGATGCATTCGATGTTGGCGCACTTCGCCGTACCGGATTCACAATCTAATGTTAAGACGTTTCGTTTTCCGTCGTCGCTTGTTAATTTTTCCGACGTCGCAGGAAACTCCAGCTCGCGTCTCCTTCTGTACCGTCCGAGCACCAAAGACTGCGGCTCTATATTGGGGAAAATTAGATTTTCCGGCGGAGCTTCGGATGATCCCAGACGATCGGTGATGTTCAGTTCGTTGGCGATGAAAGGTAATTTGATGTAGCAGGAATCTGTCGGAATGTTCCCATCGTATTCGATCGTCGGATTACCCTCCAGATAGAGCAACCACTTTCCTTCGGGCGTGCCGCTCTCCACTTGCAAAGGCCACTGAATATTCACCTTCAAGTTGTCCACAGCGTAAGGACCTTCATTGATGACCAGGTAAGTATGCCACACTCTAGTTCCAATCTCATCGAAGTACTGAATCGCAGATTCTCCCTTAACCGGACCACCGAATAAAACGTAAGAAGTGGAAGCACTGCAAGGAAATCAAATAATACAATTAAGTATTTACTTTAAAATAGAATAAATTATTTACCTATCGATTTTCACTTCCGCTTTCTTTTTAACTTCGACGCTAATATTGACTTTGGTCTGCTTGGACTTCTCCTTCGAGGTGGAATTAACGAAGGCCATGAAATTCAACTCCTTCTCGTTACCGATTTTGCTGACTTTGCTCTCGAAGCGCAAACTGAACTCCGCGGTCTTGTTCTTCGGGAACGGATTGCCCAGAGTGCAGCTCACGATCGTGTCGTTGTGGTAATTGCATATTATGTCGCTCTGCGAAAATACAAAATCCCATTCACTCTATACATGTCCTCGATTGTCGTGCAAATAAATAATTACCGATTTCTTGTTCAAAGCTATGTAACTGAGAGCCGAAGGATGGACGACGAAGAGTTGAGCTTCGTACGCTGATTCTCCGCTGTTTTTGACCGTTACTTTGAAATTCAGTTCATCAGCGGAGCCCAAGTTCAAGGAGTAACGGTTGTTTCCAATTTCTGAAAAACGAAAAATTATAACAAAAATTTACATGTTTATTAAATATTGTAAATGTGATTATTACCAGTGAGTAGTGGAAGGTTGGCCTTGAGGATCATGTTGCTCTCGCAGATGTCGTCTGTTCCGCAGTCCTTCTGGAATGTGGCTTTGAATTTAGTCAAAGAGGTTTTATTGAGGATGGGAGCCATCGGTTCATCGTTCACCAGAGTGTAATTCATGCGGAACTATAAAAAAAAAGAGGAAAGAAAAACGAGAATGTGATTAATACGAAGCATTCCTCATACGAGAAGGATTGAGTTACCATAATAGGAGAAAGTATATCTCGGATATTTTCTTTGATGATCATGACGTGATTGCTGCATTGGTAACCAGGTCTGTTGTGCCAGGTGATGTAGCTCACGTTCGTCGGACCCTCGGATAATCCGTCGAATCTTACTCTCGCGAATTTTCCATTCGCTTTATCCACGTCCGCTTCTATGAACAGTTTCACGCGGATTTCTTGACCATAATTTTTCGGTCTCTTCAGTTTGAAGCACGTTTCGAACGAGAAGCTGAAACGAATCAATTCGGTGAAAACTTATTTCTTCTTCGAGCAGTTTTGCCAACACTTAATACAATAATATAAGCACTCTTCGCTGAGTTTACAATCTTAAATTATTCATTATGTTGTAACAAGTTACCATGTTCTGTTCCTGTTGCTGCCGTGCGGGCAGCCGCCGTTCGGATCGATGTTAAATCTCTCTTCGCCGCGAACTTCGATGTCGATATGAATAATGGATCGAGCCTTGAAGAGGATCACTTTGTCGGATTCGTAGGCGCCGGTCAGAAGGTCCGGATAATCGTTGTCGTCCATATCCATACCACCGCTTAAAGAATACCCGACGGTCTTCGGTCCTTTCACTTGGATCATCTGCGAGTACTCGGGATTGAGGCCGTTTTCGCCACCCAAGTAGATGTAAATCGCGCCGTTGGGTTGAGTGTACGGAGCCCCGATGGCCACATCCACGTACCCATCGTGATTGATATCACCCAAAGTCGTCATCGAGAACCCAAACCTTGACTCTAACGTGCCGGTGAGCTGGAGGTCCGGTTCGCATTCGTGACCCTTCTCGAAGCATTTCCTCAAGTTATAATAAACGTAGACTGCTCCGCCGTGCGTGTTATTGTAGTAGAAAGGTGCGGCCACCATAAGATCATCGTATCTACTCAAAGAAAAAAATTGGCTATAAAAAGGAATCGATAATTTTATTAGGATTTTACCCGTCGTTGTTCAGATCGGCGGTCAAAAGTTCGTAGCCGAAATTGGAGGCGAATTGTTTGCCATCGATGATCAGGCCCACTGGCATCGTCACTCCTGATGAAATCCTCGTGAAGAAGTAAACCGCTCCTTTGTGGTTGGCCCTCGGCGCTCCAGACACGTAGTGCTTAAGAGTTTTATTGAAGAAGTTCCCCGCCGTTACACTCATACCTAAAAATCATAGCTTTATAGAATAATTCATCTTTGAGGCACACGATTTTAAACTGCATAACTATGAGTAACTACAACTTCTCCAGGTGATTGCAGCCACATTAATTTCTACTTTGAAATAATTTTGATAAAACTCACCTAAGTAACTGTATTTGTCGATAGGTTCTGGGGTGTTGGTGAGATTTCCGAGATAGTAGTTCTTGTCGCGCTCGAGAAACTCTCCAACTACCGAAACCACAAACATGGTACCTCTCCAAGTGTAAGGACCAGGAGAACCGATCAGAGCAGTGCCATCAGGCAGAAGATTCAAACTGGTGCCGGCTTGGCAATAACCGAATTGCTCGTGTTGTCTGCAAATGCATCATAAATTAAGAAACAACTCTTTGATTTTCATCAAGTTATCGAACTCACGAAGACATCTCTCTGCCCTCGCACGGCTCCCAAACAGCATCCCACTCCAAATTACTATGCAGCGAATAGCACAATCCCAATCCGTGCTGCACCTCCTTCAGATTGTTACCCTTGATGTACCTGTGGGCGCAGACCATCACCTTCCCCTTCGGTCCTTGCGACTTAACAGCAACACCCAACCATTGCCCGTTCTTGATCTCGTTGTTTCCAGGTGGCTTCAGCTGCTCATCTTCACCCTCGCTCTCGTAGTCATCGTAATCAAACTCTTTCGCTGCGCAAAACAATCCAGTTCAAGATTACTTTCACGTCGTCGTTAAATCAACGCACCGCCGTTCGTTCCTCGCTCCGTAAATATTTAACCGGCATCTTTATTATTATTATTATTATTACTACTTGCACGAAGAACAAAGAAAATTTGAAAAATAAATAAATAAGTTGTTTTATCTATGTGGAGCGAGAAACAAACAGGAGGAGATTGCATATATGCGCGCCTTTCATAAATGCCACTCTTTATCGCAGCCGCAGCTCCTGCACTCGGGGTTAAATCCAGTTGCATTTCTTCGCAAAAACTTCTTCTCCTCTTTTCATTTACATTCGCTGAACAAGTGCGCGAATGCAAGAGCCGCAGTGTAAACTTGGTTAGTAAAATAAATAAAACAAAATGCTGTATCAAAAAAATGTAAATAAATAAATCAAAAAAAAAACTGCAAGAAGCAAAACAAATATAAATATATATATATATAAACAAAAAAAAAATATGAGAATCGCCTAAAAAGACAAATAAAACACAATTAATTAATCAAGGAGATGTAAAAAATCATATATAATAAAATAAGAAACAACAAAACAAGAACAACAACAACAACAACGAAACTGTTTATACGAAAGGCACTCTTCCATTAAACCACGCGCTCTCCTCTTGAGGCACTCGAATGCTCCGAAAGTGGTCACTTTATTTCACAATCTGATCGTTTCTTTTTATAGAATCTTCTTCGCTCTGTTGTTATTATTATTAATAATATTATTATTAATTCATTAATGCAAGAATGAAAAATGTTAAACAAATAAATTAAAAAATTGAGAAATCGGTGAGGCGATTGTTTGTTGTGAAAATTTTGGACTCACCAAAATCGTCAACGATTAAATTTGTATGTTGTTTGTTTTTTTTTTAATTAGCCATACACCAATGTAACAAAAATAAATTATTATTATATTATATTACTGTTATTATTAATTTGAATTATTGTTTTATTCGATAGTTATGATATTATAGTAAATTATAAATTAACGAAACAACGGGATTTGCTTAATAGTTATTTGAATCCCAACTCTAAATTATATATTTTGGTTATTTCTATCACTTATTAATGAGATTACTTCAATTGATTATTTAATATTTTTTTTTTAATTCCGAATCATTCCATTGTCGCAAAGTAAAATGCGTTTTAAATACATTTTCTGTTACATAATTTTTTGTTAAATATGTTTCACAAATGTTGTGGAAACTTCACCCTCGTGAGACGAAAGAAAAACGAAACAAACAAAGAACTGTTGCGTAATTACGTCTAATTGGAAACACCAGCTCGTATTAATAGGTTTAGTGGTTGGTAGCTATATAACAAAGAGCGATAAATATAAGTAATGGTGCAGTAAACTGGAGATACTACTCCTACTTGCATTCCGCAAAGGCCTGGGACCTATTATTTTAATTGTATGCAGAGAGACAGAGAGGAAAAGAGAACTTTCAGCGTTTCTCGCGAATCCATTTTGCAGATTAATAATAACCGGTTAACGCGTGTTTTGTGGAGCTGAAAACAACGAGTTTCTAATTGCACAACCATCTATTTGTTTTACACTCAAAATACATACTTTAGCTACAATCTTTAAACAAAATTGTGATGAAATTTTCAAGTTTTCCTTAAACTGTTATCTGATATTTTGTATTATTTCAAATTTTATTCCATTCTATTAAATTTTACTTTAAAAGCCTACATAGCTTACATTTTCAAATGTTGCATAAACTTTTCCATTTAAATTCACACATTTTAGTCTGTGAATATTTTATGAAATTGTTTAATTGTTGCAGTAAATATTGTTACAATCATATTCAAAAAATGTTCAAAAATTCAATTTTTACGTAAGAAATTGTTACAATTATGTTTCACAGTTTATTAGTATATATTTTAAGTGTTCAAAACTTAAATTTTAATTCAAATGAAATTGTTTAATTGTCGCAGTAAATATTCTTACAATTATCTTCAAAAAATGTTCAAAAATTCAATTTTTACTTAAGAAATTGTTACAATTATGTTTCACACTTTATTAGTATATATTTTAAGTGTTCAAAAGTTAAATTTTACTTTAAAAATATTTGCTACAATCCTTCAAAAACCTCTCATAATATTATAGAGCTCAATTTTTTTTAAATGTTATATAAACTTTTACATTTTTAATTCGCACTTTTCAGTCTGCACATTTTATGATTATTTTAATTGATTAATTCTTTCAATTATGTACAAAACTTGTTCAAAAAATCTATTTTAACTTAATAAATTGTGTTACACACTTTATTATTATATTTTAAGCTTCCAAAATTGAAATTTTATATAAACTTTTACATTTTAATTAACACTGTTTAGTCTGCACATTTTATCAATTTCTTTAATTGTTTAATTCTTACAATTATGTACAAAAATTGTTCAAAAAATCAATTTTAACATAAGAAATTGTGTTACACACTTTATTATTATATTTTAAGCTTTCAAAATTGAAATTTTACATAAACTTTTACATTTTAATTAACACTGTTTAGTCTGCACATTTTATGATTTTCTTTAATTGTTTAATTCTTACAATTATGTACAAAAATTGTTTAAAAAAATCAATTTTAACTTACAATTTACTCAAATAAAATTGTTTAATTGTTGCAATGTTCGAAAATTGTTCAAACCATCAATTTTCACTTACAAATTTAATTCATATTTTATATTATATTGTTATAATCCTTAAAAACCCTATCATAATAGTGCTCAAATTGTTAAATGTTACATAATATTTTAGATTTTAACTCACACTCTGTGCATATTTTATGAAATTGTTAAATTGTTTCAGTAAATATTGTTACAATTATGTTCAATACATCAATTTTTACTAACTAATGTATTTCGTACTTTTCGATTTTAAACTTTTTGAAGAAATTACTATAATTATGTTGCAATTTCAGTTTTACTCCTTTTTTATTCAAGTATTAAATTTCTTCTTCCATCAAATTTTTACTAACTAATTTTTAAATTGTTATAATAAAATTTCAATTTAACTTTAAAAACTAAAGCTACTAAAGCCTTTTTATATCCTAACAATCTTCAAATATTATTCAATTTAACAAAAACCTCAATCAAACAGCTGTACTTCCTTTTTCAAGTTTCAAATTTCTTCTTTCATCGTACCGATATTAGCGCGATTCTCATAGAATCGTCTTCCTTTTGCACTTGAATGAAGAACCATTGAAATATCTCTGAAAGCGTCTTCCTTTAATATAACACAACAGACAGTGAAACCTAATATTTTGAAGTTTAAGCAGTGAGAAAAAAATAAAAAAAAAGGGGATAGACTCAACCTTTTATGCATTGGTAACAATTTGAATCAGAATATATGTCTAATCCGAAAATACTGTTGAAGATGAATACATGGAAATGCGTACAAGATACAAGAAATAATAAAATTCGTTTCAGTCGGTTACGTAATCCGTGATTTACAGCCGCCTTTTTATTACATCCTCGTGACGTTCAGATATGAAATATGATTACTTCAGTTTATTTTTTTGAGTAATTCAGAATATGTAAGATAAGAAAGTGTCTTCTCTGCTTTTACAAGTAAGGATGCACCTGGTTTGTCATTAGAGTTAACTGGGGATTAATGGATTTGAGGCTAAGAATGTGAGATAAGGAATATTAAAAAAAAATCAGTTAACAAAGTTACTCATCACTTTTTAACATCATCACTTTTATCAAGGAGAAAGTAGAATAAATATTAATGAAATTATTTTATATGTTTACGTTTTAATAGAAAATTAATTATATTTGATTAAATTTTCATTGATATCAAAGAATTTACTTGTTTGTAAATTATAAATTTATTAAAGTTGATATCAACAATTTTGAAGATATTGAAGTAAAACACATATCTTTTTGATTGAAATTATGCAATTAATAAGACTTGTAAATAAAGCAAAAAGTATTTTCTTCAATTGTAAAAGATTTTGTTGTGCATCTCAAAGAGAATTATATATTCTTTGAAAATTCGTAAAAATACTCAACGTTAAGACTTCAAATCCATTATTATTTAAATTAAAGTTTGAAAAGAATCTAAACTTTTGTAATTTCTGAGATTTATTGCAAAAAAATATTGAAGTTGTAGAAGTTCAAAACTATTGAAGTTTCTGCCGGACAAATTACAATAAACTTTCTATGAAACAAAGTTATTGCGTTGAAGTATACTTTTTATATGTTGTTGAGAAATTATAACGTAGATATAAAGAAAAACACTATTTTATTTTAAATTTTCGAAGATAAAAGTTCGGAATTGTAGAAATTATTACCATTTTCTATTAACATTGAATAATAATTAAATAAAGGATAGAATAATGGTAAATATCTAAATTTTCAATGGTTCAACACTGTTGTAGTTTCTATAGGAAGTATAGGACTACTACAAAATCTATGTGTAATCATGTAATACAAAAAAATAGAGGAAGTCCTATTGTTGAATATTGCAACAGATCATTGAATCCTATTATTTCGAAAGACTCCCTCTTGTTCCGTCCGATCAATTATAACTTGACGATGGATTATGCAGTGTATTTACTAGTCCATCATTGTGAGAGTGGAGGAATCAATATTTGGGTTGCGCTTTGTGCAGCAGTAAAAGCGACGGACGCACACGAATTGGAAACGCAAACGGCCGCAGTTTTGACATCTCAGCACTAATTATACGATGATCCACGGTCGCTAAAAGACGGAATAAATCGAGCGAAGCACGTTTAGGCGCCTTCGTTATTTCCAGATAGTTCTTGAATTAGCACACACCAAAATGTACCATATTTCCAGCAGAAAACATCACGCTCCAAATAATTCATTATTATACAAATGCGACAGCAAAAAGTGTGACAAAATCATCGTAATCATATAAAAAAAAGGAAAGGTCACGCGACCTTTGACACGACGCAGTATTTCGCTACCATGGAATGATCGGATACAAAAAAATCGTAGTAACATGGCCTAAATTCGAAGATTAAGTCCACTCGGGAGTTATGTTATTAATTTGATTAATTAAATTGTTTACCCACTCGATTAATTAATTTTATTCTCGTCTAATATCATGCATTTCTTTTTGTTTAAATCTCGAGATCTATTTATTATTTGTGCCTTTTTGGTTGTGAACGTGAAACATTTACTATTTTAAATTGCAAGATTGTTTATGCTTAATAACAAATTGGGAGTTTATAAAAAAAAAATTCGTAAATAAACGGAATGCGAGAGATGCTGCGCTTTCGCATAGATGACGAAGATTCTCGCATCTCTCTGAGCCGTGTGTTTACGAGGTCGTCGCTCCACGAAATCTATATACAAAGCATATATACAAAAGCCACGAAGAGACGCCATTGTCTTCAATCTTTGTTAACAAACCAAAAACCAAAAAAATAAAAGCGAAGACGTATATATGTTCATGCAAAAGCGAAGCTCAAGCGTATATTTTTTTCGAGTTTAGTAAACGTGCAGAAAACACCAAACAAAGAACGTACAGACAGCATGCAATGATCCTCGGGGTTAAGTTGTTTTTTTTTAGGTGTTAGAGCAAAGAGAGAGAAAAAAAAAACAGAGGTCAAATTTATGAGTGAAAATCTTGTTTTTTTTTCTGCGCAATCAAACTTGCCGAAACAAACGAAAAAAAAGTATAGAAAGAAAGGGAAAAAACTTGGGTTTTCTTGACCAAGTTTACGGCTCTCTTAAGACCACTTACACTTATATAGACCGGACGCCACTGGACGAGAGGCCCCCCGAAAAAACAATAGAAAAAAAAAACACAAAAAAAAATACATCAATACAGAAAATAAAGGAGATAACAAAAATAATTACAGCACGTCGACAAATTAACAAAAACAAAAACAAAAAAAAAAAGTACTGGACTCTGGACAACGAAGACAAGACAATTTGCTATTTTTTTTTTGTTGGGGGTCCTTCTAACACACACACACAGAATGTCTTCTACGTAGTATCTAAAGGGAACAATGTTCAAATCATAGTTTATATAATATACAGTGCACTTAAATGTAACGATTTTGAAGGATTGAAGGAAAGTGGACGCCGGGGAAGACTCGCATTGTAAACAATTGAACCACCCACGCGCTCTACGTGGATGGAGCAATTAAATTCGATGGTTGCTGCATGAATATTACATGCTTTTTGGTTTATTACTTCTTTTTACAGTTGTTTTCAATTGAGCCTTTTCTGGTATAATAGAATGTGGATTGTGGTTATTTCGGAACTTACGTCTGTATCCATCCGTGGACACCTGGATGCATGGGTCTCTGGTTAAAGGGCACTTGAACAATGCGCCGGATCGATTCGTTTCCGGCTGGATGTTGTTCCCTAAAGGCGCTCCGACTAGTAACCTGGAAAAAGAGAAAAATTTAAAATTAGATGTGCCACGTTTTCAGCTTTTGATCTTCTAAATTATTGCATTATCGTTGATTTATTTTGGAAATCTTTGCGTTTGGTTTATTTAAAATAAATTCTGTAAGCAGATGGCCACGTGAAAGTGAGAGCATCACAGATAAACTAAAAGCCTAGATAATGTTAATTGTGAACAGATTACCATTAAAAATAGTATATCGATTCATATTTTTATTTAATTATGAACGCAGATGTTCATTAATTTTTCATAAATAATATTGAAAAATAACAATTTATGCATTATTCGTTAAAATTGTTACTTAATACAGACTAATTTGTATTGGTTTTCGTGAATGTCATCTTAAGTTAAAATTATTATTGTGTAGATTTTGTATTATTCTTTACACGATTGAGTAATCTAATATTATTTTTATCTAATTTCTCCTATTTGACTCTGTATCATTTTGTCACACTTTAACAATGTAGTTTGACTCACTTTTGTGGCGAAAATAGTAAAATTAAGATGAAATTCTTGAATGCGTCACAGGCTTAAGTTCTATTAGTTTTGCGATGATTCAGAAGAGATAGAAATATAGAAGCTATATTCAGAGAAGCTGTATAAACAGGTGGTAGTAAAAATATTAATCTAAATAAATATAGAAGATTTAAGAAAACAAGATAAGTTTAATTCATTAGAAAATTGTGCAGTGAGAAATATAAAATGATTTAAGCATATTTTTTTTAATTGCTGCTGTTTATTCATATTTTGTTGTATTTTTATATTTGAATGTGATATGAATCATTATTATAAGAAAACTTGGAAGAAATATGATTCAGACAAGTTTATTGAGAGGTAAATAATTAAGAAAAATGTTTTTCAAAGATAAAAATGAAAAATCTTTGTAAAGAAGAAATTGGATGGAAATTCAATTCATCTAAATAAATGTAAAAAAAAATGATATAAATTGTTGATGTCTGTACATATTTTGTTGTTTTTTATACTTTAATGTGATATGAATCAATTTTATGAGAAAACTTGGAAAAACGATGATTCAGAAACGTTTATTGAGAAGTAAATAATTAAGAAAAATGTTTTTCAAAGATAAAAATGAAGAATCTTTGTAAAGAAGAAATTGGATGGAAATTCAATTCATCTAAATAAATGTAAAAAAAAATGATATAAATTGTTGATGTCTATAAATATTTTGTTGTATTTTTATACTTTAATATGATATGAATCAATTTTACGAGAAAACTTGGAAAAACGATGATTCAGAAAAGTTTATTGAGAAGTAAATATTAAGAAAAACGTTTTTGAGAGATAAATATAAAGAAGCAGGAAATTCAATTCATCTAAATAAATGTAGCAGATCTTCCTGCCTACCAAATAAATGGTGACAGAGTGTTTTTCGATATGTCATCGATTGGTAAACTTGCAGGATTTGTTACAGCCGGAAGTGCAGCATAAATCTCCTCCACTTTGGCCCTCCTTCTCCACCATTCGAGATTGAATCGATTCCATTTATCACTCGAGGGAGCCACGCAAACAATAACAAGTTTTGCGCAACGGAGCATCTTCTGCATCTTATATCTCTTCCAGTTTCCATTTTTTTCCTACACTGTTTTTATCCCGACGCTATAAATACGTTTTATTGATGCTACAAAACTCGCGTTTTATCGACGCAAGAAGTCGCACTCGTAAAGGCGACTGCAGAAGAACTATTCGACAATTAAATTCGTAAACTTCAAGTTGTTTGCACGATGATGATGATATCATCTTTTGCAGACAATGAGAAGGAAGGATAAAGTTTCAGACGAGAGAACGCGCGAGGTTCTTAGAACGAGTTAAAAATAAATTGCAGCCAGAGGAAAAGAAATGCGTAAAAATAAAAGAAGGAACCGTGAACTTGGCTCACATTGCGGTTCGAGAGAAAAAAATAATAATAACACGACGAAACGTCTTATGATTTTCGTTCCTTTCTGTCGACGTGGCGGCGTGTGTTGTAATTTATTGCGACACGACAAAGAGTGAGCCCCCAACGAGTGCCTCGTTAGTCCACCTATTCAAGTTCAGTTTATATTTTGAGAAAGCCGAGATCGCGTTTTTTGGTCAAGGAAAGCTGCAAAAGCAATTCGCTTTATGAAGATGTATGCGGGTGGTGGAAATGGTCATACATAAACCCAACCCTCGGTTAATCCCATTCACGCCATCCCCCTACTGAATTACACATGACAATTCAATGCGAGCTGATGGAAAAGGAGGGTTATTATAGATACAATATTTATTGGTACAAAAGGTCCACACGAAATTGGCATTTAGATACATCTGCAGCTTCTCTTGGGTTTCTTGCATCCTCGGCTCCTCCTGCGGCGTTTCTTCTTGCATCCTCGACTCTTCCTCCTCCGTCGTTTCTTGGGGCATCCGCAGCTCGACTTCTTTCTGCGTCTTCTCTTCTTCCTGCCGCAGCTGCTGCGGCTCTTCCTCTTGCGACCGCAACTGCTTTTCTTCCTTCGTTTACGTCCGCAGCTTCTCTTCATCTTCTTGCCACAGTTTTCTCTCATCTTACTTATCGGAGCCTTTCGTGGTATACCTTTGAATCTATCTTTATCCTTCTTCGGCAATGAGCACCATTTGCGGGCGCCTTCGATGGCGATCTTCGTGGACGTCCATCCCGAATGCTTCTTTCGGAAAACCCTCAGGAAGTTGAAGAACGCATTCTGGGAGAGTTTCGTGGCTGGACCGTCTTTGCGTATGATAGCCTTCGTCGCTCGGTCACTTGCATGAGTAGGAGTCCTCTCTCGGGAATTGCTACTCTGCGATTTTGATCCGAATCTGCCGTTCATCCTGTTTTTTCGCGCAGTCCAAATATGTACGAAGAAATTTTGATTAAAAACATCCCACGCAGTTAAATTCCAAACGTTTCGTTTAAACTACAATTTCACTTCAATTCTATTCATTTCGACAGATGTCAACATCACCCAGACAACAAAAAATATCAATTTTTCAAATATTTCATTTCATATTTACAATGACCTCAATGTGCAACAAAATTGAATTTTTGTGTAATACTTGGATCTTCTACAAAATGAAAAAAATCTGAGTTTATTCTTTATGCAAGAACCTTTTCTCGCAGTAAACGTGAGGTGCATCAATTTGGAGCCATTCCTGCATTTCATCAAGGTTGTCTTGCAGATATATTAAAGAATACTACTAAATTCCTCATGTAAAACAAATTCAAGAATCTTTACTTTTTAAGCATTGTAGATACATTTTTGTAGTTAAAGTTTGTAGTTATTTTTATAAAAGTGACAAATCAAATATATACAAAAATCTATTAGAAAATGTAAAAATTATGTAGATTTCTAAACATTTTCAAATTTATTTTACGAATTCATTGGGAAAGTAATTGATTTTGAAATTTAGTTCAGACTTTCTAGTAAATGCTAGTTACGTATTCTTATTAATAGAGGTTTAAATATACAACTAACTAACTACACGCTTCGTTCGTAAACGAGAAAATACCATTTTTCATTGGAAAAGATTTATTTTCGGTACGTTCCAAGTGATTAATTCTGATTTTGGGTACCTGCCACACGTTGGAATTTCATAAATAATTTTCAACTAATTTAATTATTGTAGAATTCCCATAAATTATTAACAAAAGAGAAGACGTGAATAGAGATGATAATTGTATGGACCTTAATAGAAATTTATTAGAATTGAAGATGTCGCTTATAGAAATCAATAAATTTTAAATCTAAGATATTGGAAAACTAATAATTTAATATAATTTAAAAAGTTAAAATTTGAGTGTAAATTTGTATATTTTGTCAATTTCATTATAACCTTTTTAGTACATTTTTGTTGTATTTAATGATGTGTTAAAGTTGGAGTGTGTAGGTGGTTGAAATGTTAACTGGAGTATGAAATTGGATTGAAAATGGATCGATGTGGTAGCAATTAAACGTTGATTTATTACGTGGAATATAATTTAGTTGTTCGTTATAATATACGAACACGGCTGTTATTTAATTACGGTCGTAAGACACACCGCTGCGAGTTTTGAGTAATGCAGTTACGCAGCCAAATAAAGCTTGAACATCGACACAGCTGCAAACATTTAATGCGTGAACATGAATTATTGCTAAAGCTGAATGAATTATTAACATTGATGTGTTGATTTTAAGCAATTTTTACAGTTTGGACTTTAATAAATTACATTATGATGAAAATTACATAAATTAATTTAGTTTTTTATATTATGATTTTAAGAAGCAAAAGTGTAAAGAAACTCAAAAAGTTGAATTATTTGAAGCCTGTAACAATGATTTTGGAAATTATTGAACTAAAATTAAACCAAATTTTATCTTCTTGCCTTTAATAAAAGTATAAAGAAGATTACTGAAATGAGTTATTGGAAATTTGTATGTATGTGAATGTATTTGTTATAGTTTTTATATAAAGATATTAAGTTCAAAGATGCTCACAAAATTGGATTATTGAAAGGTTACAACAATGTGATTTTACGTTTTGGAAATTATTGAAATAAAAATGCATAGATTTTTTGGCAAAACTATGAATGTTTATATCAATTTCACTGATTTATTTTAAATTTATAAACAAAGATGATTTAATGGAAATTCCTATCAAAGTAAACGTATTTATTTTATTGTTTTTAGAAATTAATGAACTAAAAACGAAATAAAAGCAAATGTGTACATTTTAGACGTTTTACTTTATGAAATTATTGAACTAAAAAAATTAGTAAAAATTCATAATTCATAACTAATTTTTTCTATTGGAGATTATTGAACTAAAAAAACTGTCAAGCAAAGATGAATTAGTGGAAATATGTATTGATTTTCCGTTTTAAGTTTAAGAAATTAAGACGAATTAGTGGAAATCCGTACGAAAGCTAATGTGTACATTTTCCCTATCTTTTTTTATAAAATTTCATCATAATTAGTGAAAATACGTATCAAATTATATTTTAGTTTTAATTTTACTTATTATTAAACTAAAAATTGTAGAAATTCACAAAAGTAAAGTAATGGTGATTCGTGAATTTTGCCATTTTACTGGATGGAATTATTGTATTAAAATGATGAATTAGTGGAAATTCGAACATTTTCCCGTCTTATTTATGAAATTATTGAACTATAGAATGAATACAATCACAATGAAGGAATTAGTGATGAAGTTCAAGTGTTGTTCATTTAAAAATTATTGAACAAAAGTGAATTATCAAGAGTCTGTATCAATATGAACAAGTTTACAAAAGATGAAATATTTGGACTCAATATCAACGTTAATGTGTAGATTTTCCACGTTTCACTTTATGAAATTATTGAACTATACAATTATGAAAACTACAAATATTATTTAGTGATGAAGTTCGTATCAACTAAAGTGTTGTAAATTTGAAAATTATCGAACTAAAATGAATTATCAGGAGATTGAATCAACATAAAAGTGTTGATTTTCTAGTTTTACTTTTGGACATTATCAAATTATAAAGAAAAATATGAACAAGTTTACAAAAGAAGAAATATTAGGACTCAACATCAACGTTAATGTGTAGATTTTCCACGTTTCTCTTTCTGAAATTATTAAACTATAAAATTAAGGAAAACCACAAAGATGATTTAGTGATGAATTTTGTGTCAACTAAAGTCTTGTTCTTTTGAAAATTATCAAACTAAAGTGAATTATTAGGAGTCTGTATCAACATAAAAGTGTTCATTTTCTTGTTTTACTTTGGACTTATCAAATTAACGAACTAAAGTGAATTATTAAGAATCTGCATCAACTTAAATGTGTTGATTTTCTCGTTTTAGTTTTGGACATTATCAAATTAGAGAGAAAAAAATGAATAAGTTTACAAAAGATGAAATATTAGGACTCAATATCAAGTGAATGTGTAAATTTTCCCCGTTTGACTTTATGTAATTATTGAACTACAAAATTAAGAAAACCATAAAGATGATTTAGTGATGAAGTTTGTGTCAACTAAAGTGTTGTTCATTTGAAAATTATCAAACTAAAGTGAATTATTAGGAGTTTGTATCAACATAAAAGTGTTCATTTTCTTGTTTTACTTTGGACTTATCAAATTAACGAACTAAAGTGAATTATTAAGAATCTGTATCAACTTAATGTGTTGATATTCTCGTTTTACTTTTGGACATTATCAAATTAGAGAGAAAAAAAATGAACAAGTTTACACAAAAGATGAAATATTAGGACTCAATATCAAAGTGAATGTGTTGATTTGTCCCGTTTCGCTTTTGGACATTATCGAGCGAAAGGACGAGGAAGACCACGGCCTTTATCTAATTTCGTGTCAGCAGAGTAAATATGAGCCGGATAAGAGAGAGCAACATATTGATTGATCGCTCCCAGCCCAGAGGGGTTGAAATTGAAAACGAATTGGAATAGATGGAAAAGGCACAGAAGGAGAGACGAGAAGAGATCGATCTGAGCCAATGAACATTGACCGAACCCGTATAAAACGATAAACATCATTAAACAAATGAACTCTGATTGATTTTTATTGAATTATCGAATTACCAATGATTTATTATTGCCGTTCAAGCGGTTAATTTATCAGCAATCCTCCTATATTTATCCATCATATCTAGTTCATTTTTTCGCGTCACCGTGCAAACAATTTTCGTCCCCAATATTGATTAAAATCAAGCGAAAATTCGCGTGGCATTTCGCCAAAGCCGACAACAGTCTACTGACCTTTTCCGTATTTTCTATCTATATTCGTATCTTCCACCTCAGTTTTATTTCCTTTCAGTGCATAGAGCGCTCGATGCAGGGGTGTAATTAATGCGGATTTGTGGAACCACCCCCGAAAAACAAAAATTAAAGGTCTGACTCATATGTAAAGAGAGAACAGTTGTGCGCTCCCCAAAAACTGTCGAAGGGGGATTTTGGTTTTCGCCTGTTTTTCCCGAAAGAAAAACAGTCTGTAGAATCAGAAAATTGCTGCGGGAGCAGCAGCCTTTTGCACTCGCATAGTAAACTCTCTGGATTTATGTCGTGACCCAAATTAAAAATAGCGCGAAAACATTATATATCGTCGAAAGCCCAGACAGCAATTCTAGAAATTTTATTAATATTCAGATGGGAATCAGCAGGAGAAGAATTTACTACAAAGCGAGAAGAAAGAAGTTTTCTCGTGTTCTATTTGATTTTTTTTCTTCTTCTTCTTTCGCTCGATAATAAATCTCTGCCAGATACCTTCTTACCTGGACCCAACAAAGGAATTCATTGTACCTGAGGCTAAGAACGAACAGTTCATGAAAGTTCTCTCTCATTTTCTCTATGCTCGAATCTCATCATCCTCCCTGAACCGGGAAGTCTATAATAAAACCAACAATCTGATACAGAGATGTGTGTGCTTCCCATTGATAATTTCTGTTTACAAATATAACGAGGTGTTAAAACGCTCGTACACGCATCAATAAAAGTTCTTAAAATACCCGTCGATTTAAGATCGAGCACGCGTCGCTTCCGATCTTCTTCTTTTTTTTCCTCTCTTCGTTATTATTATATAAAGAAACTACTTCATCCAGAATCGCTTCCTGTCCACTTGAAAAGCGTGATTCCCAAACGCTAATTAACCACAAGGGGTTGATGCGTGCTCATTTTTTTTTTTCTCATCTAGGGTTTATTTCGAGGTCTGTTGCGCCCATCTGGAGGTCTAAATCTATATATACATACGCATACACACTAATGGCCAACAAAAAAATAGAATTAGAAAACAGTTCGACGTTTCCGTTGTCGATATCGAAGTGCAAAGCCCCCCCCCCTTTCGTTTCGTGTTTTTTTT